CGTCCCAACTGCCCCCATAAACCCCAACCCATTGGGAAAAATCTCTAATATCCCTAGTAACATGTCCCCGAGAGAAGTAGAAAAAGGTATGGCCCCTTATTATTGAAAGAGTCTTATTTCCCTTCAGGAAAACTCAGAAACAACTGAAGTCAAAACCTTTAGAGACACTGGAGCATATTGCTCACTTATAAGAAAAGGAATATTACCCCTTTCAAAGAACACTTCCTTGAATTCCTCTGTTTTATAGGAAGCATTTGGAAGAGCTATATGTTCTGTCCCTTTGCATGAAATTTATGTACAGTGCAAATATTACAGTGGGTACTTGACTGTGGGTGTCTCAAAAGGATTCCCCATGAAAGATGCCATGTTATTACTGGGTATTAACATTACTACTGCTAGTGCGTATCCTGAACCTATAATGATTAATTCTTCTCCGGTGTTGGCCATAACTCGGGCAACATCCCAAGGGTTGTCTGGCGAGAATGTTGACCTATCCTTGGACGACTCCGATCTCAGAATAGCCACTTTGTTTTAAGAGGAAAACTGGCCAGAGCCTCGTAGATCAAGTGAACAGACCGCGATCAAGCCTTCCTATTCCCAGGTTGCAGGATTACCAGATCTCTCTGTTTCCATGCCCGAGGGACTGTCCTTCCGGGAGGAACAACGAAAGAACCCTTCTTTAAAATTCGCTTTTCAGGCAGCCATGGGTAAATCCTCTTTGAATCATCCGGTCAAGTATGAACTTGAAAACGATTATTTGATCTGCACTGAGACTGGTAAGGAGATAGAGGGCCGGCAATTGTCTGACAGGTTAGTGGTTCCAACAAAGTATAGACCTCAAATATTAAATATAGCTCATAATACTTCATTAGGAGGTCACTTAGGAATTACAAAAAACCTTGTATAGAATCACAAAAGAATTTTATTGGCCAAAATTAAAGAAAGATGTGAAGAATCATATTAGGTGTTGCCGAGAATGTCAGCAATAGGGGAAACCTGGACATTCCATTAAACCTGCACCTCTCCAACCTATACCTGCTGATGGAGAACCTTTTGCAGATTTAATTATAGATTGTGTAGGTCCACTACCTAAGTCAAATTCTGGAAATCAGTACTTATTTACGGTTATGGATAAAGTAACCAGATATCCTGAAGCAATTCCCATGCGCAGTATTAATACTAAAGCTATTCTCAAAGCTTTAATCAAATTTATTTCTTGTTTTGGCATTCCTAAAACTATTCAAAGTGATCAAGGTACTAACTTCACTGCCAAAGCATTTAGGGAAGCATTAACTAGGCTAGGGATAATCCACAACTTATCCACTGCCTATCATCCTCAGTCCCAAAGCGCCTTGGAAAGATTCCATCAGACGTTAAAAACTATGATGAGAACTTTTTGCATGCATTTTCCTACAGACTGGGATGAATCACTACCTTTGTTGCTGTTCTCAGTACGAGAAACGGTGCAAGAGTCTACAGGGTATAGTCCGTTTGAGCTGATCTTTGGGCACAATGTACGAGGTCCTTTTCGGGTGCTCAAAGAAGGATGGATGGGAGAAGACGTTAGCTCAACACTCTACAACCCGTCTTCAAGGTTGCATGTGGCACGTCAGTTAGCCAAGGCTAACCTAAAGACAGCTCAAAGTAAGATGAAACAGAGGTATGACAGAAGTGAAAAATTCCTCTCCTTCCATCCAGGAGACAAGGTGTTGGTGCAGGAACCTATACCTGACCACACCTTGAAAGCTAGATTTACGGGACCTATGCAGATTGTAAGTAGATTATCTGATGTAAATTATGTGGTAGCTCCCATTGATAAGACCTCAAAAAACTAAAACTTACCACATTAATCAATTAAAATATTTTCATACACCAGATAAAGTCCCAGTAATGACTCTGTCCTCTACCTCTGAGGACGACTCTGATTCTTTGCACTTTATCTCTGAAATTAATGTTAAACTTTCAAATTCTGTCCTCCTCAAGGATCCTAGCCCTTTAATGAGGGACTATCTGAAACGCAAGCAACAAGTTTAACTGAGCTTCTACAGTCATATCCTAATATTTTTTCGGATGTGCCGAAAAAATGTACGTTAGGTTATCATGATGTAGATGTGGGAAACTCTAAACCAATTAAACTCTCCCCCTACAGAGCTAATCCTGAAAAACAGAGGCCACTTCAGCAGGAAGTAGAATTTCTGTTAAAGCATGGTTTAGTGGAGGAGTCATCTAGTCCATGGGCTTCACCGTGCATCCTTGTTAAAAAAGGTGATGGAGGGTTTCGTATGTGTGCAGACTACCGTAGGGTGAATGAGGTTACAATTACAGATGCTTACCCTCTTCCTCGTCTGGATGACGTAATTGACTTTGTGGGTAAGGCTACTTTTGTGTCCAAGTTAGATCTCCTTAAAGGTTACTATGAGGTACCTTTGACGGATAAGGCGAAGGAAATCTCTGCCTTCGTAATTCCAGGAGGTCATTATCAATACACAGTTACCCCCTTCGGAATGAAAAATTTCCCCTCTTCATTCCAGAAACTTATCCATCAGGCTATTAAAGGACTTGAAGGCACGGCAGCGTACCTAGATGATATTGTTGTGGTGTCTGATACTTGGGATCAACACCTACTTAGACTTAAGGCTCTTTTTGAGACCTTTCAGAGTTCCCATTTAACAGTTAATTTATCAAAATCTTCCTTTGGCCAGGCCACTATCACTTTTCTAGGCCATGAAGTAGGTAGTGGTAAAGTTGCACCTAAACTTGCTAAAGTTCTTGTTATTAAAGATTATCCAGTTCCCCATGATAGGAAATCTCTTCAACGTTTCCCAGGCATGATAGGATTTTACAGAAGATTCTGTAAGAATTTGTCAGATATTGTAGCCCCTCTTACCTCTCTTACAAGTCACAAAGTTCCCTTTAATTGGGCCCCAGATTGTTAACAGTCTACAGTGATCACAATCCTCTAGTATATCTCCAAGCCATGAAGAACCACAACACAAGGCTCATGCTTTGGGCTATACGACTGCATCCCTATTCCATCAGAATTAAATGTATTGCTGGCAAAGAAAATATGTTGGCAGACTCTTTATCTAGAGTCTAATTACATTATTTACTTAGGTTAGGATGTTAGGTTACGTGTGGTAACCCCTTTCAAGCTCTTTTTTTTATCCCCTGATGTGGGTGTTTTTTTAGTGAGGGGATGTGGGCTACCGTCCGGTCGTGTCTTGGATCTATGCTAGCCCGACTGACTGCTGTCTCACTCTGAGTTTAGGGTTTGGCTTTTTGTCACGAGAAAAGCTGAGCTCTATCTAAGAGTTGGATGGTGGAGAGGAAAGGCGGTCCCATTATTTTGTGCCATGGCAGCACGGTTACCACTGGGAGGTGGCAGCCTAATCCTGAGCCTTCTCGGGGTGGGGGTGTGGCATGCAAAGAGTACGTAACCTTTATTCGGCGCATGTACACACCCTCATTTACAGGCTATCTCCCCCAACCAGCGAACCAGGTTGCTAAGAGTTGATGGGCCCCGTCGTTCAACTAGTGACCAGGTTCCAGCCAATAAGAAGATGGTTTTGGCAATCGCAGAGGTTATGTGGGTACCACTCTCCTGTCTGCCCTTGTCATTCCCATTCTAGAGCTGGTTGAAGCACGGTCTGTTCTCTTGTGGCCTCTATTTCTGCCTTGCTTACCGTGGAGTGCACTAATACTTATCACTGTACATAGTGTATATATTGCTGTTCTAAATATGTGAAGGATAATGTAAGTCTAAACTTTTCTGCTGTGTTTATTTTGCTCCCTTTACACCCAGGATAACAGGCCATTTGGATTCCTGGGTTGTAATAGAAGCCATGCAGGATCAGCAGAACTTTCTGAAAGGTATCACACTCATTCGTGGAAACTTGGAATTGACTCTTCAGCTCTGGTTATATAGCATCTTCACACGACAGTAGTTGAACGAATCATGCTGTGGTTACGTAGTGAAAGTTTGTAACTGGTCGAACGTCGCATTCACATGAACGAAATTATAATGAAAATTTGGAGGTAGGACAAATAAAAAAAAATTGTAAAAATCAGGCAACCTCTTATACCTCTCCCTTTTGTGATACATTTAATAATAATAATAATAATAATAATAATAATAATAATAATAATATTAATAAAATAAAAATTATAATAATAGTGATAATAATAACAATAGCATCAGCAATAATAATAATAATAATAATAATTATAAGAAAATTATTATTATTAATATTATCATAAATAAATAGATTAATAATAATTATAATAAGTATTATTAATATTATTATTAGTATTATTTTAATTATAATGATAATTAAAATAATAATAGTAATAATAATACTAATACTAGTAATAATAATTATTGTAATGATAATTTACATAATAATAATAATAATATTATTATTATTATTATTATTATTATTCACTGAGAAGCACTAAACCAATAGGCTTAATAGATGGATTCACTCTTGATCTGAGGATTGGAACGGCTGCTTCAACTCCGTGAATGCGATTACTTTGACAACTTTACCAGCATCTTAAGAAGAATGAGTTTTCACGACCTTGAAATGACAGACACACAAAAGACGGTGTATTGCAATAATTTTATAAGGTCACATTTTTAGTCATTAAGGACACAGATGGCAGTTGGGTAAGACTTGCGTGCTTTCAGTGGGTGCTGGAGAGTCTTGTACATGGGACACTGATGGCAGTTAGGTAAGATTTGCGTGCTTCCAGTGGGTGCTGGAGAGTCTTGTACATGGGGCCAGAGAAGCCCTTGTGGAGTTAATTATTGGGAATTCCGGCGCATAGGAGCGTGTAAAGACCCGTCATGCCAAACATCTCTATCGAGCGTTGTTATATTCGTGTCACACACAGACACACCCCCACCCACACCAACACACAACACACACACACACACACACACACACACACACACACACACACACACACACACACACACACACACACACACACACACACACACACACAGTGGACAGAGACTGGTCTTCTCTCACACCTCGCTGGTTCGTCTGGCCAATCACACCTTCAGAGTGCGGTATCAGGCACACATCCAGAGTGCTCCCTCAGTCACACACACACACACTCAGGTACTCAGATTTCTCTCCTTTTCTTAGAGGGATGCTGGAGAAGGAATCTCATTTCAAAGAATTGGAGTGACTCTTCCCTTCGTTGAATCATAAACCCTTCATCCTCATTAAGGCTTCCCCTTTCTAGAACCCTTGTGTATGAAATACAGTATCGGTGTCGACCAGAGTTTCAGTGTATGCTGTATTTGTCTTTATATCACCTGTTATAACACACTGGCAGGTTGATGAATAAATAAGACACATGTGTAACATCTGGGGACCTCTAATAATAAGACGTTTCTCAAATTAATGTCTTTTGTCAATACAGTGAAGAGAGACACACTGGAGACGGAGGAAGAAGTGGAGAGGTAATTCTGAGGTGTTCACTTCCTTAACCCTGATAGTGTTCATCCCCCTCAGCCATGATAGAAACTGTTCAGTCCCTCAGCCGTGAGCGAAGGTGTTCAGTCCCTCAACGATGATAGATAGTGTTCAGTCCCTCAACGATGATAGATAGTGTTCAGTCCCTCAACGATGATAGATAGTGTTCAGTCACTTTCCTTTAATAAAAAGTGTTCAGTCCTTCATCCCTGAAAGAAGGTTTAGTAACTAAACACCGAAGGTCTTCAGTCACTAACTCATCACAGAATTTTATAGGTGATCATTCTCTTCTTCTTGATAGAAGATGTTTACTCGCTCTGTCATGATAGAAGATTTTCAATTTCGTTTTCTGTTACCAATATTTCTTCTACTACTGCTTCCACTACCTACTTTACCACTACCACTGCTTCCTCCCTCTCTTGCTCCCGTCATTGTCCTGTTCTCCTATATATACTATCTGCCTCACTCTTTTCTGTTAGTGTGAGTTTGTAAATGGTCCAAGCCGGACCGAAACGTCATCGTAAGCTCCTCTCTCCTATGTGCGGATTATTTGTGTATTGTTCCTGTGGCGGTTTTATGTCTTTTTGTTCTTTATGGGCCCCGTAGGTAAGTGTCTTATTCCTTCCAACTTTTTTAATGTTTTTTCCTACTTTTAAAGCCCTCTTTCGTTCTTATGTGGCTGCTCTTATTGCTTCCAAAAGTTGTAAATATCAGCTTCACTTTCTACGGGATTGTCTTGCTAAATAACATTTGCTCCCTTCCTTTTCCCAATTCCTCAAATTCAACTCTTTGGGCACTTCCTTTCCTGATTATGCCCGCTTCTTGCTTCAACAGCTCATTTTTTTTACTAAGTCTCAAGTTGATGGTGCCTTCTTTACTTCCCGTCAACATCTACTAGGGTATAAGAAAGGAATTTATAGGCGTATCAAAAGAGGTGAGGGTCATCTTATGAATCAGTATATTGACATTAAGAGGGACATTAAAAAGGGGATAAGAAAAGCTAAAAGGGACTATGAAATTAAAGTTGCTAGGGATTCTAAAACTAACCCAAACAGTTTTTTCCAGGTCTATAGAACAAAAGTTAGAGATAAGATAGGTCCCCTTAAAAATAACTATGGGCATCTTATTGACAAAGAGAATGAAATGTGCTCGATTTTAAATAATTATTTTCTCTCGGTTTTTACACAGGAAGACACTAACAATATTCCAGTAATTAATTTTTATAGTGGGCCAGAAGATAAATTATGTAACCCCCCCGTCCCTTGTGAAAGGTTGGGTGGAATCCCCCAATGAAAAAAAAGCGGGGGCTGGGGTTTTTTTTTCAGGGGCAAAAAAAAATGGGACACCGGTTAAACCAAACAATTTTTTAATTTCCTTCCAATTTGGAAGGCTGAAGGGGGGGCCCGTTAACCCCCCTTTTTTGGGGGGGAGGAAAAGTTTGAAAAATTGGGGGCCCCCTGCCCTTTAATTGTAGGCTTTAAAGTCTATCCCCCCCTGTTTTTTGGGGGTTTGATGAAATTTTATTTGATATCGCTTTTCGGGGTGTTGGGATTTTTGGGAATTTTGGGGGTAAGCCCCCCCGGGGTTTTCCAGGGTTATTAAATCAGTATCCCCCTTGCGTTCCGGGGAAATTTTAAATTTTAGAAACCCCGGCGTCCTGAATTAGGTGTTTTTCCCAAGTTAATGCCGGCCGGGGTTTTTGGGGGTTAACCATTTTAAAGGTGGGGGGGAATTTCACGGGGCCCTTAAATTTTTGGGGGGCTTTAAGTGCGGGACATTTTTCCAGGGGGATGCGGGGACCTGAAGGGTTTTTTTTCATTGCGGGCTTGGTTCCTAGTTTAAGGTTTTCATTTTTTAATCTGTTTTTTTCCCCCTGGCCAGGGCGAAATAAAAGGTTTTGGGCCCCTTTGAGGGGGGAACCCTCCGAAAAATCCCCCGGGTTTCCTTTGATTTTTGGTGTTTCCCCCTTAAAATTTTGGGCCCAGAATTTGTTTTGAACAATGATGAAGATTTTAATTTTCCTTTCCTATTTTAATTTTTTATTTTTGTTTTTTCGCATCGTTAAATTCAAATTTGTTTTCCGGGGGGCCCACTAAAAGGGGTTTTTGAGGGGGTTTCCCCCTTTTTTGGGCCCTTTTTTTTGTTCTCAAGGGAAGGGGAAATTTTCCCCTTTTTTCCAATTGGGGTTAAATTAAATTTCTAAAAGGAAAAAATTTGTTTTGGCCCCTGAAGTTGGGTTTTATGCCCGGTTGGGTTGAGGGAAAAAATGGGGAAACCTGTCGAGTTGTGGGGAAAAGGAAAGAACCTTGGCTGTGGTTTTAACTCTTTGTCTATTTGGGTTATGAGGAGGGAAAAAGATGGGCCCGTATTTTTCCTTTTTAACCTTTTCACCTTTTGTGGGGCTTTACCTTTGTCAATTTTTGTGCGGTTTTGAAAAATTTAAAAATTTTCCTTCGCTTTTTCCTTTTTTCCCTTTAGGCATTTTGGCCCTTTCCGGTTGGTCCAATTTTTAAAGGCGCAAAAGTTCTAAAACCCTTTCCCAGGGGTTTGTAAAATTTAGGGGGTTTTGGGAAGGGGGTGGTTTGACCCTTTTTTTGGGGCCCCAAAAAAGGGGGATTTTTAAAATTTTGACTGGGTTGGGTTTTAAGGGGGCAAAGGGGGTTGTTGTTTTTCCTTCTTTTTTGTTTATTTGGGCTTTTTTTTATTTTTTGCACTTTACGGCCCCCCCTTTGTGGGGGTGGGGGAATGTCTGTTGTTTTTAGAAAACTGGGGAGGGCCCCGGGTCCTTGCCCCTTCCCCAAAGGGGATGGAAAAGGTCGTTTTAGGGGCTTTTGGGGTTCTTGATGAACACGGTTCCTTTAAAGTCGGGCCCCTGGGGCAGAGGCATGGGCATTTTTTTTTATCGCCTGTTCAAAGTCTTTTGGCGTCGGGGATAACATCGGGATAGGCTTGTTTTTAATCAAATTTTGTGGCTCTCTCTTTAAAAAATTAATTTTGATCTTCGACTCTCAGTTGGTTAGCGATTGTAAAAACGGGAGTCATATTGGGATTTGGAGTAGCTAAAATCATTTCCTTGCTGTCATCTGTTGAAAGGGACCCATCTGTTTAAGTAGGGGGGCCCCAATACGGACGTTGTTCTCGTTTTTTGATTTGGCATAGGAGAAAAAATTACTTTGGGTTTCTTTCATTTCATTTAGGGCTTTTAGTTTCTTCCCCCCCTTTTCCTGACCCCTAAGGTTTCTTTTAGCTTAAGTTCGATGCTTGCTATTTCTTGACCAGTGTCTCCCTACGATTTCAGATTTATTGCCCTTTTTTAGCCCCCTTTGTTATTCTTTTCCGCCCACCTTTTAAAGGGAGGGGCCTGTTTTTTTATTTTACATTTTTTTTCCTTTTTCTTAAATGGAAAAAGCCTTGTGCTTTCATCGGGGTGCCACCGATTTTAATTGTTTAGGCATAATTTGGGGGTCTGTGTTGCTTGTGTTTTCCCCCCAGCTTATATGGGTTTTAGGACTTGGTTTACTTGGTCCCATTTTAAATTTTTTTGTTATTGATTTGGGAATTTGGGGGAAGCTCCCTCGTGACTGGGTTTTTTTTTGGTGGGTTTGGGGGGGCCCCAAAGCATACATGTCTAAACCTCAATTATGTTGTGTTCTGGGGTATTTTTTTTTTGATTGGGGGAATTTCTTATCAGATCATCATTGTTGTGAAGATGAGGTTAGTGTTTTTTCCGGGTCTTTGGCTTATTTTTGCGGGGTTTAAAATTTGGAATTTTGTGCAAAAAGTTTTAAAAAGCTCGTGCGAAAGTGTGAGTTTTAATCAGAGTGCCCCCCCGGGTGTTTTTTTCTGGAAAAATTTATTATTTGCTATTTCCCTTTCCATTTTAGGTGCCTTAAGTTGAAACCCCCCAAGGGGGCAAGATGTTGGGGGCAGGACTGGAAGATTTTCCAGGGTGGTAAATTTTTAACAGCTGTTTTGGAATTGGGGGAAATTGTTGCATCCGGGGTTTTGTAGCTACCAAAATGACTAGGTTTTGGTTCTCGCCTTTATCCCTAAAATTTCCCATACTTAAATTTGAGGCTTAAGCGTTCTGGGGCAAAAAAGTGACTCTGCAATGTACGGGGCCAACCCCCTCCTTTTGCCCTGTTCATTTGGGTACATCTTTTTTGGGTTTTGTAACCTGGGCCCCATATTTCGTTGTCCAAGTTGATCCTTTTATGTGGGTCTCGTGAAACCCGCAAACCCTTCCTTTTGATTCTGAAAGGTCCAGGAAATGAAAGGTATTTTGTTTTTTTTGGGGCTGGCTTTAAAACCCTGTATATTTGAAAAGAAAAAATTGTTATGGGGACTGGTGGTATTGTTGGTATGGGGGGGGGGTTTTTTTTTCCGGCATTAGTACCCTGTATTTTTGGTTTTGGGAGTGGAGGCCTGGGACGTGGTTCCACCGGGTTTGATGGTTTTGGTTTTTTCGATTTCTCCCCTTTTCCTGCCTTTTTTTTTCCTTCCTGGCACAAAAAAAAACCTTCCCTTTTGGGTTTGGCGGGTGGCCCCCCAAGGTTTTCCCCAAACCCCCTGGATTTTTTGTATTTTTTGTCCCCTTTAGATGGTATGCCGGGACAAATTTAAGTTTTGCACATTTTTTC